AGAGAGAGAGAGAGAGAGAGAGAGAGAGAGCGTATGTTGGTAAGTAATAGATATGCTACAGTAAAGTGATTATATATGCCTATGTACATTGTATTTGTTGGGTTATTAAATTGCAGGTGAGGGTGGGTGAGAACGTGGGGGGAGGACCCGGAGGTGATTGCTGCCCCAGGGTCCGACCTGGCTCTCGGCGGCCCTGGTGCCACTGAGTGTGATATGCATAGAACAATTAACCTTATGAGTCATTTTACAAAAATATTGCTGCGAGTAATAATGGGAAGATTGAGAAGAAGAAATTTCCTTCATATTACTGATTTTGACCGGGAGGGTCACATATAGGCACTTAGACAGCCAAAAACATAATGTAGGGTTCTGTTTGTTGATTTTTCATCAGCCTAATACTATCCAGTCAGCTATCCTTTAAATGAAATTAGAAAACTTAGGTGTTAACGTCATTTTAACATCATGGATACGCAATTTTCTTACAAACCGAATCCAGTATGTAAAATTAAAACATTCCTCATCGACATACTCGACATACTCGTATATCACAACAAATACAGGGGCCCCTCAAGGATGTGTTTTGTCACCAGTTTTATTCACACTATACACGAACGACTGCCACATAAACAACAGTAACATCAAGTTGATCAAATTTGCGGATGATTCAACCATAATTAGGCTAATTCAGGCTGACCATAACGAAACCGCTTACCGGAATTTTGTTTCTTCACTTTTCTGAATGGTGTGAACATCGCAAGCTGCTTTTAAAAGTGGAAAAAAAACCACCAAATAGTTTGTTGTTGACTTTAGAGAAAAAGAAACTACAATTGCAGCCACTCGAAATTAAATGTGAAAACATCGAGCAAGTGTCAGATTATAAGTATTTGTGTGTTACAATAGACAACAAACTCAACTGGCGTGTCCACACTCCTCTCCTGCATAAAAAAGTGAAATGTCCATAGTCTATCATCCAACCATAGAAAGTATGATCAATTTTTGTACAACAGCATGGGCCGGGAACACAAGACAACAAGATAAAGAAAAATGGAATCGATGAATACTGAAAGCATGTACAATTTCAATATCTACATTCCCCCTACTTGGATGAATTGTACCTAAGAGCTTGCACTAAAAAATTAATTCCATCTTTTTAAACAACAAACATCCCTTGGTCCCTCAAATAAAAACATCAGTCAGAAATAAAAGACCTAGGCTTCTGATCTGTGTAACAAAGAAAGATCATACAGAAGGTCATTTTTACCATCACCCATCAAAATTCTTCCACCTTAACCATCTTGTAACTAGTATTCATATATACCATAGAGCATGCATCAGAATAAAAATGAATATCATTATGTTATCTAGCCTAATAAGATTATTATTGTTTATATTGTTGCTCACTTATAATGTGCATGTGTGCATGTTTGTGTGTGTATGTGTGTGGGCGTATGTGCGTGTGTGTGTGTGTGTGTGTGTGTGTGTGTGCACGTGTTTGTGTGTGTATGTGTTTGTGTGTGCACGCGCGCTGCGTGTATGTGTGTGTGTGTGTGTGTGTGTTTGTGTGTGTGTGTGTGT